AAATAAATTTTTATACAAAGTTAACCTTTATTTTACCTTTTCCAAACAATTGACTTTATTATGTGGTAAAAATGGAAGTACCCTTTAGTTAAAAAAAAAAGGTCAAAAACCAGTGCAATACACTCACCGGATAAAACAAAAGTTGGTTTACACTACTGGTAATTTACAAATACGAGTATTTTCATAGTTGTTGTGTTCTAACAGTTAGTGTTTACATTAATCTAATTCGTTTTATAGAAGTGTTTATATTACAGGTAATTAAAAGTAGTGGAAAGGGGAAGTTTCATTAACGGCTTGTTTGACTACAAGAGAGTTTACACCAGAGAACAGAAGGAACATAATAAAAGTACAGTGATCTACCGCTAGCCATCTTAATCGTGACTGTAAGTCCTAGATCAGATTAAACTTTTTAGCATTAGACCTAGTCCGATCTGATAGGGACTTAACGAAATTGAGGTCCCTGTTTTACACTGCCTGAACAGACTAGGACCTAGTCTTTTTACCCTAAAGTTTTAGACTAGCCTAGACTAACTCTTAATTTCAAAACTTGAGAACCGGACGTCTAAGCAAGGTTATGGGTGTATACAGTACCTAGGTGAATTCAATCAGGATTACGTTCTATTTATGTAAACACAAAGAAAAAACAAACGAGGTAGAATTCACTTTCCCTCGGACCCTCTTTTACTTCTAAGACTGAGCCCAAACTACGATTACGTGAAATGATCAAATTTGTACCAAATTAATAGTTATATATAGATTAATATTTTCCGTTTTGACTGTGATAAACCTGTTGAAAGAGCTGGTTGGAAAGTTTATTTATCTTTATGTGAACTCCTTTATTTTCCACTAAGATAATAGTTAACATTTGTATCTAAACCGTGAAAATACCTTTCTCGTTTAACACATAATTTCCGTCATCCAAAATACAAGTATAAATTACATGATATTGGGACACAACGATTATAAATAAAAACATTGAAAAAAAGGAATGATTTCGAATGGAATTTGATATAAAAGAATATCGTCTTAATCCATTGACTTAGTTTATACATTAAGTTTTGTGTAACCAATTTCCAAATATAATAACGCGAGATGTACCCGGGAAAACACAAAAACTTTGTAACACCCAATGTGTGACTAACCAGGACAGAAAGGACGTCAGACCGGGACAAGGACCACAAACACCGACGTCAAGAGCAGGAAAGAGACCGGTTCTCCTTTGTAGGTCTAAGTGAGGAGTCTTGCGGTCAAAGATGGGTAATGTGAGGAAAGTTGTTTTTGCTCTACGGCGTGTCTATGATGGCCGCGGAGGACCAAGTCTTGATGGAGTCCACTCAGGCCCCTAAAGGTTTCCTATTCATAAATCGAATGTATCCGTTAATACGTTTCTTTCTAAACGTATGACATTTATAACACTGACCGAAGATTGACGTGAACATGTTTGACAGGGTAATGTGGAGTCTTCTCTCAGTTACCCTTGACAGGGTACCCACATTAAGATGGAGGAACTGCTCCTACTGTGGAAATGTCATAAGGAAATGAGAGAGACGGTAAAACCTCGAAGAATGTAGTCGACAAAAGATCGTGTAACCAAACTTCACAACAAAAACAACAACACGGTTTGTCCGAGACTAGAAAGACTAAAGTAAGGTGTTGGACCTCAGAGTCCTGGAGTTTTCATCTAGACTACTTTGTGTCGCTAGTACCCGACGTCGGGGGTGCGCGGCGGTAGTTGCACTGTCCTAGGTCGTCCAATAATAGCATGTCTTAAGTTAGTTTTGTTTTCTAGTCGTCATATACAATCATCACAAGGTCTACTCCGAGAAACGACATTCACGACGATTCATGAGGTTGACTCTCGAAGTATAAATCTAACTCACCTGAGACAATTGTGAAGACAAAGACATACAGCTGTCCTCCAAGTCCATGTCACAACGCAATTGTCGTGGTGGCAAGTGAGGAACGGTTACCGACAGTTACATAATTCTGTTGCGAAGAAAGATTCTCCAGACTTACCATGACCTGTCTATGCTTGGACCTCGTTTGGTAAACCTAATACATCATAAAGTTCCTGTTATGAAGTCGGGGATTTACTAGGAACATATAGTTAATGAGTACGGGTACAATGAAAAGTATACTCATCTAGTTATGTATAGACCATTTTGCTCTGGTAATCCACTGGAAATCCACCCCTCTGGTGGGATCAGGATAATCCAGTTTTTTGGGATCAAACTGATCCCAATCCTGTGTTGTTGGTTTGAACTACCCATTTTGAAGATTTGATCCAGATTAAAGCTTGGATTGGATTTCCTGATCTGATCGGATATCAAAGTGATCCTAATCCTGTTTTTTGGTTTTGAACTCCCCAAAATCCAAATCTGATCTGATCAGATAGGGATTAAAAGTTTTGAACTCCTGGGCCCTGGTGACTTCCAAATTAGACTAATTTCTAATAAAGCCTGCAAAATACTAGGTAAGGCTTGTTTTAGCATAGCTGAATGCTGGATATACGTTTTGGAAGCGGTTACTGATAAGGGAAGGTTAAGAAGAGTGGATCTTGTTTTCAAACATGATTAGTCTCTGAACACTCACGTGTAAATGAAGGCTTTCCTCTCCCTACGCATGTTGAGCATGTGCAGCCAGGCCACGGTGCTGAACTGCTGCCGCCACAGAGCGTGACCCGACACGACGTCAGACTTGTTGTCAGAGAAGGTCAGCAGCCGCTGGTCGGTATCGTCCACAGAGGCGTTGTCACCTTCCTCCTCTGTCTGCTCCTGATTAAACACACTGTAGTCTGAAGACAGGAAACAAGAAACAAACAAACAAACTGAAAAACACTCATACGGACAGACTCTGTGTTGAATTAGGAAGTAGATTGGGATTTATTGAGATCTGCTTAGGTGATACACTCACCAGCTTGGTCTACTTCGGTCTCTGCCTCTAAACGAAGAAAAACATCCTCCAGGGTTGTCATAGAAACCCCATAGTTGATAATTCCCAGATTGGGTTGGCAATCGATCTCCGAAAACAAGCCTGAGAAACAGAAATGTATTAGTACTGGGTGCTGTTACATTGAAAGCTTAGTCACAAATGAGTCATTATTTCAACATTTACCTGGGTGGGACGTCATTCAGACATTAAGAAAGAGGATTTTAATTGTTTTAAGTGTCTGTTGATTCACTATCTAGTGCGGAAAAAGGAAACACAATTGTGATGCGGCTTGTGAACAACCGATTCAAATGTTAGAATAAAAAAATGTATTTTAGAGAATTGTAAACTGGGAGTGTGTCGAGATTCTCACAAACCTAACATGTCATGCTGCTGCAGCCTTACATTCAAAAGCATCTAGCTGGCAAAACACAGGTTGACAGGTTTTGAATGAAGTCACAGGACAAACAAAGGGTTTCAGTGAGCTTGACACTGAACAAACTGTAATTATTATAAATGGGTCTATAAAACAAGACAAGTGTGCAACCATCCCCCTGTGTTTTGGATGTCCCCTAAACTAAGAACGTTTTAGAATTAAGTGTTCCAGCAAAATGTCATAAAGGATCTAAAGGTGGCACTACTAAGTGTTATAGCTAGAAATATATTTGACAAATATTGCTTACAGGAGCAATTTAATGTATCACAATTAAGTAGTTAAAACCTGACTCCCCAACCTACAATTGATGGACTGATAAGGGAAATCTATCAGACAGATAATAACATATTCTCTGAGGATCCAGACAGAATTCTTTTTTGAAGTTGGAGTCCCGCCTTTAATGCGCTCTTCTAGTGAGTTGATTTTGGTTCCCCCACATCTCCTGGGCCATTCCAGTGTCTCAACCTTCTGATCAAGGTGTATTTAGTGGCACTGGCCAAATATATGTGATCTAGATTATTATTATTATTATCTTTTATTTCATATATCTAATGTTTTAGAATATGTTTCCACTTATTTATTTAGTTCCATTTGTATTATTTTATCTCATGTTTCTTTCAATGTATTGGCTTTTTAGATACAGCTGATTAAAAATGAAATCTAAAAACTGTTGAGTGTGAATATGTTTGTATAGTGAAACTGAAAATGAAATAAAACCAAGTTAATAAAAACCACAAAAAAAGACGGTAATTTTGGTCATTTATTTGACCTTGAATTAGTGTGAAATATTGCAGCGAGTATTGAAAGACTCAGTCAGCTGTCAGAGAAACAGTTAAAGGTGACAACATTGTTTTATACCTTTACTATTTGCTGACAAAGTACTAATATTTAAGGATCGAGACTTTAACTAGATGTGAACTGACCTGAAAACATGTCCATGCCCTCCAGAGGCAGAGTGAAGGTCAACTCTGCGTCATGTTGTCGAGATAACTTCGCCTTGGTAACATGCTGCTTGACCAATGACGTGATCTTTTCAGCTTCACATCCCTCGTTGATAGACATTCTGCGTGAGAGGAAAAACACACTAGTTACAGTAAATAATAATACAAATGTAGGCATTGCCACCGTTCCATAAGTTGTTGCAACTTAACAAATATATAGTGACCTGAGATTTCAACATAATTTAATTCATTCATCGGGCCATTTTTCAAAGGGTTACTAAAGGGCCACTTGTTATTATTATGCAAAGATAGGAAGTATTGTAGTGTTTTTATACTTGCCTGAGATGATATCCAACACCACACTTGACTTTGAGATAGAGAGAAGAGCCAACACATTTGAGCTGTCCTTGAGAAATCACAGCTTTGCGATCTGGTGAAAAGAAATACGATCTGTGATGAATAACAATAACAGCAAATTGATAAATGTGATACTTTTGAATTATAGTTGGGAAGAAACACAATCATTACATGTCTTCAAAGTGCATTTATGAGTGCTCAAAAATCCAAAGCAGTTTCATTATAAATACAGCATTTGAGGAAGTTGGCGCTTTCATAAAAACGAACAATGCTTTTTTTAAACTGCCAGGACCGAATAAAAATATGATGGGTTTAAATAATTTTAAATCAATCAGATTTTGTTCATTACACTCAAACAATCTTAAACAGCAGCAATGCTCAAACATTCTTAAATTAAAATCTGGGAAAAAAAGGCAAAAGTTAAGCCTGAATTGTTGCCTTTAGTTTCCAAGTAGGTATGACATCTGCCTTCTGCTTTTGTGCATGTGGGTGAGTGCATGTTATGTGACAGAGAGGGTTCATACCAGCCAGAATGTCAGCCTCGTCCATGTAGTGTGTGCTGAGGACAGTGACTCTGCCGGCTCTGCGGTTCTTCAGCAGCGTCCACACCTGGTGTCTGGAGCAGGGGTCCATGCCGGCCGTGGGCTCGTCCAAGAGCAAGATCTGAGAGGAGCAGACACCATGTAAACTGCTCAGGGTTCACCCAAGCTGAAGTAACACTGACTGATAATTCCAGGTAAGCTTCTTCTTCAAACCGTAAAACTATTGTGCAGTAAAACTCAAACATGGAGACATTTTCTGTTGTCATGTTGGTTCAAAAACACTTCAACTTTAGATATCCTTTATGCAAACAGCTGATTTCAAGTACGTTTTACTGTAAATGGAATATACTGCAAACTGATATCAAAATGAGGGGGGGGGCATCCTGTCGTGCTTCTATTGGCTAGTGCTCCAAAACATTATACGTGATAGTTTAAGGGGCAGGACATCTCTTAGCAGTTGACCAATCCCAACAGAGCTGGCCAGCTAACCAATCAGAGAAGACTGGGCTCTGGTTTCAGACAGAGGGTGAAAAGAGGTGCTGCAGCACAGGCAGTATGAGAAAGATACAGAGCTTTTTGAACATTAAAGCATGGAGACATGTCACAGACACAACATACAAATATGAAACCTGAAAAAGAACATGATAGGGTCCCTATAAATAAACAAGTAAACCATAAATAAAAAATGTATCCATTTAAAGCTCCAGGTACCTTAGGATCTCCCAGAATGGCGATGCCCACAGAGAGTTTCCTCTTTTGGCCTCCACTCAGATTTTTGGCCTGAGCAGTCGCAATTTTTTCCAAGTCTAGATCCTTCAGCACTTTGGTAACCTATCAAATAGAAGAGTCATTGGCCAAATTGGAAAAGATTCCCTTAAATCAATCAAGAATGATTTGATTTGGTGATTATATTGACCACTCAAGACGAATATAAGACAGAGGCTTTTAAACCAGTGTTTAGATAATCACCTCAGCGTCGATGTCCGAGGGTAGGATCCCTTTGATGGCAGCAAACATCCGGAGGTGCTCCTCCACAGTGAGCACATCAAAGATAATGTTAAACTGGGGGCAAATTCCCACCAGCTGCTTCATTTCGGAGCCATCTGCGATCTCTGCTACGGGGGAGCCATAGATGGTGGCCGAGCCGCTGGTGGGCGTGCAGATGCCACACAGGATGTTCATGAGAGTGGACTTTCCAGCCCCGCTGTGTCCCAGCAGAGCGGTGATCTGGCCCTCATAGATGTCAAACGTCAAACCTGACATCATGAAAATCAACCAGAAAAATGCATATTAAGATACCAACAGAGGCATTGTAGGGCAGACCAATATATTGTTTCAGCATTGTTGTTGGGAAACTAAGGAAACCTTTTTTCTGTTGAATACAAATGTATAAACTTCCAGGCAAAATATTTATATTTCAATCATAATGAAAAAACTGGAAATAAAAAAGGTAATTTTGTTATTTATTTTATACTGTAACAACTTGAGGACAATACAGTTAGAAATGCAACTACGGATAAACCACAGGTCAAACAACCAATTTTGTGCCTGGGTTTCTGTACTATTTATTTGAGACAGTTCGAAAGGTCTGTGGTGCAGATGAGTTATTTAATATCTTTTAATTTAAGCTTTGTTATGAACGTAATTAAATGTAATCTACTAAAGAAAAAACTAAAACTACAATGTTGCCAGGAAAAATGCTAGTAATAAATCTTTAATCACAATCACATGCTAATTGAAAAGCCTTTCAACTTCAAAAGGAAGTGTTTGGGACTCACCTCTCAGAGCCTCCACCACGCTGTCCTTCTCTTTGTACACTTTATGGATGTTATTGATGCTGCCAGAGAAGAAGCATACAGGAAATGATTTTTTTTTTTCAAGAAGTGTAAACACAGAAGCGTACCAGATTGAAGAGCAGACTGCTGCCACAGGCCTTTCTCAGCCAGAACAATGGTGTTTGACCAAGAACAGAGCCAGAGCATTTTTAACTGAGCATGAAACTCTCAAAGTCTCCATTCATCTTTAGTATTAAAAGGCTCCTCCTCAGAGATTCATAGTTTGTGATAAAACAGCATCAACATTTGAATTGACCTGCCAAGGGCAAAATGATGGTGCGACAAAGCATCCTCTGTACAAAGCATTTGATCAAACTGTAACTTAGCTATGGAATTCCAACACATTTAACTAATAGTCGTATGCTAGTGTAGATTGTTACCGGATAGCCTCTTTCCCTCTGAACTCAGGTGAAATGGGCTCCACATGCTCGTCGCCACCTGAAGTGCCTTTCACCTCTGCGTCGTATACCGAGCTCACTTCAACGTAACGCTTTCTGCGTTTTGACCAATAGGAAGGCTTCAGGAAGTACACCAGGGACCGCTTGATTCCAAAGTCCCCTGCATTTCAGACAATACTTCATTAGACAAGGTAATTGTAATATAACAATGACAGTTTACGATTAAACCTACTGATCCTATAGAGAAATGTAGCTGTTTCGTCTTGCTTAATTAGTTGTAAATTACTTAGTGATTAACTATCTGAATTGACTCACCAGGCAGAACCTGGTCCAGGTAGACAGCCAACAGCAGGTAGAGAATGCAGTCCACAACGAGCATGAACAGGGGCACGTACAGAGGATGAGGGCCGTTAGCCAGGGAGGAGAACACAGCACCATCTCCCTGGGCCTCCAGGTAAACCACCTGGCATATGTATACACACACACACACACACACACACACACACACACACACACACACACACACACACACACACACACACACACACACACACACAAAATGACCATCTGTGGCCAAAGGATGGGCTGCTAATGTCTCATAGCTAGTTACTGATTGTTATAAGATGTTGAATGTATTGAACCTGGTGAAGGCAAAGCATNGTATCCGCTTTCACACTCTTCCGTTGTTCGAGAGCTGGTGGCGGATTCTTCATTGTCGGAGAATATGAATTCCGCTTGTGGCCATCATCGGGGTCGTCTATGTCCTAATGTTACAGTGCTTTTAGTAACACCTCTTTAATAAACCGGAGCTCAGAAAAGTTGTGATTTAGCATAATCTACAAGTGTTGTTATGATTGGACTTTGCAGGAATGCCTTTACAAAAGATTGTCAGGATTCTCATGTTATGTCACGGTTGTAGTTTTGTATGTCTGGTTATGGGTGTTTTCCTCCTTGTATATTGTCTGGTCCTTCTTCATGTGTTTTTCCCCTGTCGTTAGTGTCCCTGGCGTGTCTGATTGTCTGATTGTGTTCACCTGTTGCCCTTGTGTTTGCCCTCCTCCCCCTGCCCGGCTGTTTCTCGTCTTGTGATTACCCCTCCCTGTATTTAGTCTTGTCTCTTCCTGTGTTCAGTGTTGGTTCGTCTTTTGTTTGTGACTGAGTGTTGTGTTTTGTCCAAGTTATTATTTTATCCTTGAAATAAAGGCATTTTCAACGTTATCTGCATTTGGGTCCTGCTTCCTTCACTCAACCGTAACAAAGATGCCGCCTTTCACACATTCAGATGTTAGAATTTTCACAGGCAAAATAATATCTATGCAATAACCTCTGGTGCCTTTGCTCTCTATTATGACTTCATGCGGTTTTCTGTCCTCTCAGGTCATTAGTTTAACTTTAATTGCGTTCACCTGGCACCCCAGGAGTTAATCTGTTCCCTGATTTAACGGATAGAATTACAAAAACAGTAGGGCCCCATATGTTAAGCGGCTCCACTAGAAACTAGTGCTCCGACAGCTGAGCTAAATGAAAATGTATGAAATGTAGAAAATAAATCAATGCAACACAGTGATACCACACTCTAAGCAATTGCTATGAGAGCACTACACTGTACTCGTACACTACATCTAAATTAAAGAAGTAAATCTCGACTGGAGGTATGTAAATGTACTTGTAATCTTGGAGGTGTTTTTTTTACAAGACTGGGGACAGGCAATAAAGAGGTGGATTAATCCAACTTCATTCTGGCCGTGATTGTGTGTGTGTGGGTGGGCATTGCACAATATCAGAACAAAAGAAGATGAATGCCACACTGATACAGAAACAGTAAACAGAGTTGGTCTCTGTTTGTCGAGTAGCCTGACAGCAGAGAAGCTGAAGAGCTTTGTAATGCTGAGAGTAAATACAAACTGACTGGACATAATGACAGGCCTGTAATGGAAAATCAGGACAAGTTCTAACAAATCAAAAGAAAGTGAAACTTGAAACTGTGTTTGTATCCAAAGCGTCTGAGTAGAGAGTAAAGAGGGGTTTAATGCGTAGAGTTGGCAAACATTGTGATATGTTTGGTGAGGTGTTGAACGAGCTTCAGGACAGTACAGTTCAGAAGTGTTATTGGGCTCTGGTCCACTTTAAAATAAAACTTTTGGATTTCTATTCTAGTGAGTAAATCCAGAGGTTAAATGTAAATAAGTAAATATACTCAGTACTATTCAGTCATGCTTGTACTTTACTTGAGTATTTCCATTTTATGCGACTTCTATTCCACTACATTTGGAGGAAAGTGACACAATCTTTACTCCACTGCATGTATTTACCACTCATTGTTACTAGCTCCCTTTTACATGTAAAGATACCCACATTTGTTTGCGTATGAAGCAGTACTGAATGCTACTTCGATACAGGGTTATGGGTTATTTACGCACATCGCTGCTGTTGCTGAACAACTGAAGATAAAGGTAGAAAATATAGGAGACTATATTGCCAGTATAGTCCTTTTCATAAATGAATAAACACAAGTTGGACTTTTCCATTATTGTTCAGCCTTGATTATATATAGTTCAGTCAGACAAGTAACGTGTTTCTTTAAAGGTCCCATGTCATGCTTTTCTGGTTATTACCCGTCCCCTTGTGTGTTATGAAGGTTTTTATGCATGTAAACGGTCTGCAGAGTCAAAAACCCTCAAAGTACACCCTGTAGGGAGTAAAACTCTAACACAGAAAATACCTCCCCAAAACGCCTCGTTGGAGATACGTCACTGTCCATTAGTGATGTGTCGGTCGCGAACGAGCCGATTCTTTTGAACGGCTCTTTGATATGAACGAGGGGAACCGAGTCGTACTTGGTGAGAGCCGTTCTTGTTATCGTTCAATCGTTTGTCCGCACTCACTGCCTGCCAAAATCCACTAGCCTTTTAAAAAGCTTGATTTTGTTCCCCAAAACGTATTCTGTGAAGACCCACCCCTACTCTGACTGTATCTATCTTCGACACGGAAACCCTGTCTGCTCCTCACAGCAGCTCCTCGCGAGCAGTTGCACGTCGCTTGACCAATCAGAGCACACTGGGCTCACAGGGGACAGAGTCCGTTTAGGACAGAGAGTGAACACCAGGTTTCAGCACGAGGAGTGAGATGGGGTGGGTCTTAACGGAATACACGAGAGAGAGAAGTCATAACAAGTGGTACAGGACAGGTAGACAACGTGTTTTTCGGATGGAAAATGAGCCAAACGCGAAAACGCAGTTGGATGCTGGAGGCTACATTCAAAATACATTCACTGACATGAATATGGCGCCACCTTTTGTCATGTTTACAATGCAGATTATTGACATTAGGTCTGACAATACAGTCAATCATTATCCTGGTGATTATTTCGCAGATAAACCTAGTAACCCGCCCTTTAAAAGACGGCTCTTTGAACGACCTCCTTTTGAACGCTCCTTTGAAAGGCAACGGAGCCATAAAGACCGCTCCCCTTCAAGAGCCATAACCCCANACGCACAGAAAAGATGTGAACTGAAGGATTATTTGAATTATTTGAAGTATTAAAGTAACATGTTATGGCAGGAAAGTTAAATCTGGTATATTCTTAAAATGAATATACCAGATTTAACTTTCCTGCCATAACATGTTACTTTAATACTTCAAATAATTCAAATAATCCTTCAGTTCACATCTTTTCTGTGCGTGTGAAATGGTACAATACACCAAAAAGCCACTCAAAAATACATTGCTCCATAGCGTGACCAGTGATCACTAACTCTACAGGGCACCTTAAGGGCCGCTTTAGGAACATGTGGCTCTGTTTTTTATTTTTATTTTTGATATTGATTCATGATTCAGGAAGGAATATGGGGTTGTCTTAAAACTTTGAAAGTAAAAAATGTTATCTTCTGAAAAGAGATGGGCAAAACCAGAAGTGTCAGCACCGATTGGCCTAATCTTTTGTCAATAAGTGATTGACAACTTCTGATGTAGTACTGCAGTATAAAGTCAATTTTGTGCGAGGATTATAAATACCTGTTATTCGTTATAATCATGGAAATCCAATTTTTATTACATTCATTCTTTGTCTCACACAGTTACACCGATGATGAAGGATTGAACACCAGAACCCCTGTGCAGACTGGCAGTGCAACACAAATACTTTAATGTGGTTGCTTATTAAAAACAAAAACAGGAAGAATACAAATCTGGTTGCTTGAGTTAAACCTGTTTTAGTAGCTTGAGACGATTTGCCCCTCCCCCCCCCCGATCAGATTTGCACCCACTTTGCGTATTTTTGAAGGACCACTTATTCTCCCGTGGTTTTTGCAGACTACCTATACAGTAAGACATGTCAGTCNTCAGTGTACAAAGACGAGACCGACACGGACGTAAGCTCAAATAGTAATGCCCCGCGACGGGGGCTCGACGGTTTGTCGTCGTAGGTCGTGCAACGTTTTCAGAGTTATCATTTGACACGGCGGCTTTGTATTAAAGTCGGTTAGTCGCGCGGCAGTTATAAAACAGTGCTCTCGCGAGTGCAACCACGCGGTGCAAAACTATTGCACGCAACTGCACTCAACAAAAAATCTGAGCAACTCCTTGACCCATCATAGTATCCATTGCGTCCCCCACGGTCCCCTTGACCACCATCAATACCGATTGAAAAGCGCCGAATAAAACGTGGCGTATGGTCCGGCAGGCCACATGCCTCCGTCGGCGTGAAGTAGAAGTTACTGAGGGGTCTTTTTTTTTGTGTCTGCGGCACAGTATGCTGAGTATATCGGGCGTTGGAGCGGTTGACAGTAGCCAATGTATACGAGACTGGTCCTAAGTCTTTGATCTCATTCTCGCTCAATTTGTTCATTTGTTGGTGTATTGACAGACTCCAGTACCGCCTTATGTCAGCCCGCACCAAATAAATACAGCTGCTCGCACTGCCCTTTAACTTCGGCCTCCTTTCCCTTCAACTAACCTTCACCTGTTTCAGGACGATCATACCGATACAATACTCACACCGCCAGCCTCGTAAATGTTGCAAATCGAGAATCGGTTTAGAGGTAAACTCTTGTTTTGCGTGAAAATTTTCCAAAAAAACGGACGCAGAACGACGTCTGAACAGTATTGGAATAAAGTTAAGGTAGAAAAATGATAGGCATAGTCATACAAACAAATGAAGCGTAGTAAACTTTGCACACAATGTTAATTTAGGTGCAGTTTTATACAAGTAGAACAAACATCAACATCGGGGAACTCGTCGCTCAAGAGAGGAGATCAAAATCTGACGCCAGTTCGTCAGAGGTGAGCTTTTTCTGGAAAAAATTTTCTGGAAACCCTGTCCCTACTGATCGGAGTGATATACTCGAAGTTTACATTAAAATAAAAATTGACATGTAGTCTTACTAAGGACTAAAGAAGACTCACTCGATCTACCCTACAGGACGATAGTGTGGACTTCACTTTACGTGAGAAACATGACCTGTCAAAAAAGCAAATTCAAGAGTAGATTTGTGCGTCTCCTACTAAAAAAATGAGAGATGGCATTACGTATCCTATAAGCGCGCGGCGTTATAGGTGCATCTTCCGACCGAACCTTGATACAGAAAGGGCTCTACCTCCGACCGACTGGCGTCAATCAAATCGTATGAGTCGCGGCTGGGAGTCGGACCAACAAGGACGAGATCTTGAGTACAAAATACCCGGTAAACTGTACGTGGTCCTCATCAGGGGTAAATTCCCAAGTAAAGAGGGTTTTTTTCTTAACGAAATGGTAGTCGATATAGTTGTCGGGGTGGTTTTTATAAAAGGTGGTCGGCGGCGACTATAGTTATATTGGACGAAAAGTAACAGAAAAATTTTTCAATTTCCGCAGAATGGTAAAGGGGAGTTGGGAGACCTCACACCTGCCTTCCCATAAAAAGGAGTAAAATCTACAGAGGAATTTAACAAGATAGTGTAGCGAATGAACTTTAGACATCGTAACACAATTTTAAACAAGATTTTATTGTAGATTATACATTTTACTGATACCAATTGTATGATATTTACCTTGTTCATTAAAAATATAAAATATATATATTTTTTAAATATATATTTTATTTTATTTTTTATTTTTGTATGTGGGAAGAGGTGGGGCGGCGCCCCTAGTGCCCCTATGGGCCGGCCGCCACTGATTGATATATTGATTGATATATTTATTATATTCAAAGGCAAATTAATACTTAGTCCCCTGAATCTGGAATAATGTACAATTCACAACATAGCCTCACAATGTCAGGAACTTTTCATCTACAGATTGCTTTGGTCTGGCTTTACTCTTCACTGATTGGTTGAAGAAACTTTAAATGTATTGTCTATGGAAATCAGAAGGAGGTGCTCATTATCATACAAAACGTGCGAATATTCACACGTATATTCGCGTGTATGTTCGCGCGTATATTTGTCCGTATTTTCGCGGAGGTCCGCATATTCGCGCGTATACGGCCGTTTTTTTTTTTTTAAAGGGGCGAAATCTAGGTGCATATTATGGCACTTTGGGCTTTCCATACCAGGCCTCCAGAAGGCGCGCTACAAGGAACAGATAGATGTCTGACCAGACATAGAGAGAACGAACGAGCGTGATGGAAATTGAAGCCGGAGGAAAGGAAGTTGATTGAAGTGGACAAAGTCGATTTATAAGAAGGTACGTTTTGTTTGTTTTTATACAAATAGCGTCATATTTACGCAGCTAGCGTTAGCGTGCCTACAGTAACTACTACACCAGCTGAGGAGAGTAGAGCTTCACGTGAAAAGAAGATAAAGTGAGGGAAGAACATTGTTAAAAGGGAGGACAGAGAAATTCTTAGCAGTTTGTTTATATGTATGCATTTGTGTATGGATGTTGCAACTATACAGACCTTTAGCAATACTATATGTAACTATGGTCGGTGGAGAAGTGACAAAATGTGAAGAGGGAAAAAGTAATGACAGGATAGTGTGCATTAGACATGCTCAAGAACAAATATAGAGAAGACATTCAAGGAGAGAGACACAAAACACAGATTCAACGGTAAACATGATTTAACCACTATTTAGACTATGTGTTTTTCATTGACTCGATTAAATGGATTTACTACATCAAGGTATGTCTTTTTAGGCTGCCATGTTTTGTCCTTTCTGTGGCCAACATCTGGGGACAGTTCATGTGTCCTGTGGCTGCTGTGGCAAAATGTACAGTTTTTGGCAGAAGTTGAACACAACAGTAAGTTCACTTTTTTTATTGTATCTGTTTAAAATGCAAGACATAAGGATTCAACACACTACTCTGTTTAGAATACTAATTTAAGACATATTGTTGACATCTCATCATAAGCATTGCAACAAGGTCCTCTATCAGGTTGACTCTCACAAGATATTTCTGTAGTGTGAAGGCCATCAGGATGTATCTTCAATCTTGACCTTGTCATTCATCATCAGCGTGTTATTGGAAAAATCCATCACTACATACATTACAACAACACAGAAACTGATGCTGATAAATTATTAATCCATATTTCATAGATCCATCCTAATCACATGTCAATAAGTGTGTGGATGATGAGTCTGAAGCGTCAGAACTAAGATAACATTTAGATTTACTTCAATTAGTGTAACTTGTTTCTTTGAGAGAAATACCTGATTGCATACATGTTATAATGTTCAATTATTTTACAACATTTCACTGTTAATCCAACATGAGCTACAACACTGGTTGGTGTCAGCTCCCTTGACATAGTATAATGAGATTGAACACTGAGCTTCATTCAGACCTACAGTTTGACTCAAAACACATTTTCTATGGCCTGTTTTCAGCTGCAAATGTAACGCATTCTGCCTCAGAAACACGCTGTGTATTCATCAAACCGTTTCGAAGGTCTCTCTCCTTGTTGCATCTGCATTTCAGCGAGGACTGCACAAATAATGGGGGGCATGTTAACAAAACTAGATTATGGATTTCGCTGGATGTACTAAGGTCAGGCAATTTGTCAATTTTGCGCGGAGGATCCTCCATCTTTGAGATGAGGGGTAAACAAAGCACAGGTTGGATTTATCAGAGCCACGAGGCAGATGTATTTACCTCAATATGAACATCCATATATACATAATACATCCACCTGCTCTTATCTGCTGAACATCTCCAATCTCCTTCCTGACATCTTGTCTTCATCTTCTCTTCATCTCACTTCATCTCATTCTCTTATTTTTGTCTTATTTATTTTATTTACGATTAATACATCACCATTTTCAAGGTATTTTTTGTCTTAAAGCCCAACAGCCTGGGAGATGTTGGATCCCACTATAATACTTTATTTTCTGAGCTAAGTGACCTTGGGAGCATGATTTTATTTGGAAATGTTATTTTAAATACAATTAAATCAAGTTATTTTGGTAAAATTATTGAAAAATAAAACAAAAGAAATGTTTAAAAAAACCTTTTCTTAGTACGTTTTCAAATATTATTTTTTAGAATATATCAGGCCCTCACGCCACTGCTCAAAGACCTTGTGTATAATGCAATAAGAATGCTTATTATATACTTTCGTAAAAACATTGTGAGCTGTTTTTTTTAGCAAGAATAATACAAGACATCGTTGCATGTTGTTTCTACTGCACATTATAACTTAAACCCGGAGGAAAGACTCCTCAACCCAGGAAACGGGAACATTTTTGCTCGTCTAGTTCGAAATCTGTGGCTGATGATTTAATGGCTTTGTTTTGAACAGACCAGTCTACTATCCAATCCAACTTCATTTCTATAGCACATTTAAAAACAACAGAGTTTACCAAAGTGCTGTACATCAATAAATACATGTATATTACAAAAGAAAGAAAAAAAGAGATGGGACATAAAACAAATTTAGACACAGGACAATACATCCTTACTTAAAGCCACAGACTGACAACTCTCATACGTGACGTAAAAACAATATCAAACCCCAATTTAAAAGCGCAGACTGACATGTCTTACTGTATAGGTAGTCTGCAAAAAGCACGGGAGAATAAGTGGTCCTTCAAAAATACGCAAAGTGGGTGCAAATCTGATCGGGNGTGTGTGTGTGTGTGTGTGTGTGTGTGTGTGTGTGTGTGTGTGTGTGTGTGTGTGTGTGTGTGTGTGTGTGTGTGTGTGTGTGTGTGTGTGTGTGTGTGTGTATACACACACACACACACACACACACACACACACACACACACACACACACACACACACACACACACACACACACACACACACACACACACACACACACACACCGCTCTCTCTCTCTCTCTCACTCACACACACACACACACACACACACACACACACACACACACACACACACACACACACACACACACACACACAAAATGACCATCTGTGGCCAAAGGATGGGCTGCTAATGTCTCATAGCTAGTTACTGATTGTTATAAGATGTTGAATGTATTGAACCTGGTGAAGGCAAAGCATCATGGGAGGGGAATAATAGCAACTAGCCAGTATTCATTTTAGCCAAGTTTATTTCCAAATATATAACAATTTGCACGTTGAACATGATTTTATCCTTATACCATAACAAATATTTTTGCAACATTTAGAATTTTCCTTGCAGCATTACCACTCTTTTTTTATGTGCAAACATTTGCATTAAGTAGATGGATTAAAAAACGCATTTTTTTTATTTCATAAAAAGGCATATTCTGGAAGATGACCGGTGGAGCATCTTGTGGGTAAGTGTTTGTTACCTGTGCAATCCCAATGGAGAAGGCGCTGGGGGAGAGCAGGCAGAGGAGCCAGACCAGAGGCTGAGGGAAGTCCTTCATCAGCACGGTGAACAGGGACAGGCAGCCGAACACCACCGTCAGCATGGAACCCACTGTGCTGGCAAACTTGGGCTTCTTAAATAGCGGGGTCATCATGAAGGAGAAAAAGATCTGTGAAACAAGAAAAGAGTCAAAGAAAGCAAAGGGAGATAGGAAGAAGGAAAATAATTAATTTCTTCCATGACTCCCATCATCCACCAACAGATGAAACCAAACAGGGCTGTAATAAAAACTCAGGTAAAAGATATTGCCTTAGAGACGTTGCACCAATTTCAAAATCAAAACAAGTTGGAAAGAGTTCACTCTCCAAGATGACCAACTTAAAAACGTCTTGCTTGAAATGCTGCTCTCTTTCTAGTTTGAGGGCAATCACTTAAGACCTAATGTATCTCAACCTACTGTAGATATTAAACCATTGGAGTTACAAATCTTGCATAAATCAAACCAACCAACACAGTGAGGTCTCCTACAGTAGCTCTACCTACATTTGAAAAGTCCTTACAGTTGTATGCTCACAGTCAAACGTTTCCAAGGTGACAATTTTAGTAGAAAAATAGGTTAATGCAAACGTATGTGCACACTGAGCTCTCATGCAAAAATGCCAAATGTAAACATTGTCTTTCACACTGGTTCAACTTTTTTGATGACAGCATTATTTACTTATCATTCCCTTTACAAACTTTTTGGCAATATCAAAAAATATAGGGGCAGCCATTTCTTTAGAAAACATATATTTTGTATGTGAACTAAAGCTATGACAATATGCTGAATACATAGCTGTATCATTTGGTGAAGGAATTGGGCAATGGAATGTTTTAATGATCAATGTATTGACACAAAATAAAAACTAATGAAAGGCACAATAATGAAACCAAAACTATTTGCATGGCTCGACGTAAATAAGAGGATATGAATGTGTCCAATATCTGTACTAGTTTCCCTCTATGAAAGCTCTACTCACCGATGATATTCCGTAGAGGAAGATGAGGAGGAATATAACCAAGAAGTCACTGTTAGGGAACAGGGCCGTGTACGTAGCGATGATGGACATTAGGAAGGACATGGTGGTTACCAGGGCAGCGTACAGGAGACCCCATGACAACCTGTTTGACAACATGAACACATAAGCATACACAATCTCAAAGAAAGCAGCTTCTACAAATGATTTTCATGTAAACAATACTCAAATGATTTGAAACTGCAGTGACTGAGGGCCTCCTGCTCCTCACCAGAAAGCGGTGTCGTAGAGCCCCATCATGGTCATGGTGTCTTTGAGGCGATGTTCCTTCTCAGCTGCCACGTTGACGATGAGGAAGGTGACGAAGGGCGTAAAGGCCAGGACCAGGTAGATGGAGATGAGGGCGTGGGGGAATTTCTGCACCTCCACAGAGCCTGGCTGACCCATCATCACTACACTGAGGTCCATCTCACTCCTAACAGAACGCTTTGTCTGCATCTGTACAATAAAGATGGACCATTCACAAGCACACCATTAAACATTAAGTTATGATCCTAATCATTACAGATTCATTCATCAACATTTATTTCTATATTAATAATAATATAAAAAAAACTTAAATGTAGAAATTATTTTGTAGGTAATTTTTGACTAATCAGCCTCAAAGGAATATTATAGTTTCTCTTTTTAGATGTATAACTTTCTCAAATAAATATGCCCCATTTTTTCAACAATGGCCTTAATACGCCATTGTATGTAATTGACTCATAGTTTCATCACTATAACAGAGCCTTCTTGAACAACTGTACCTTTGACATCTTGGAATAACAATAAACCCTTCATGTATTTTCTAAAAACATTAGCTTTATGACTGCACAGACCGACCAGGAACCATAGACACTTTCTTTGTTGCATTATATGTTAGCCTGCGCAACACACGCACCATTTCTTCCCTCTTTAGGGGGGGTGCACTGGAGAACACTGTGCTCCTCTCTGGCCTGACTCACCTGGATGATGGCTGCATCGATCAGGGACTGCAGGCGGATGAAGCCAGAGTACCAGTAGTTAGCCGCTCTGCAGTTCACTGAGCTGGTAAAACAGTTTGCTAGAGGAACACAAAGACAAAAACATAAGGTCAGGCCACATATGGACGTTATATTTCAGCTCTGGAAGGAAATCATTTGTTGGATGGTCTTTACATTACATATACAGTAAGCTAATATAATATAGTTTCTCTATAGTGTGTGGTGTGTCATATCGTAGGCATATCGTTTGACGTACACCTACCTACATTTGATTTGGATGTCATTTCTTAGATATCAACTGATTGACAACTGATTCTTTTAAGATATCATTTAAATTCAAATCTTTAGCATGGTGTCTTCATACAAATATTCTTGTTGTCGGCAGAGTGTATTATATACTAGGTCTATGTAATTTTAAACTTTTAGTAGTCACAATGACTGAAGAGGGGGTTTGAAAACGTTGAAAAGAAGATTTTATATATATATATAAATACAGGAGGCAAATTAAAGAATTCCCCATTAGACTATACCAATAGATTCTGTGTAATCGCTGGGAAAGGGCAGGTGGTTGTACGGAAAGCGTAGCCTGTAAGACGTGGCGGAGCTGTCCAGGAACACCACACCGACGTAGCTGGAAGGCTCATAAAGGCTGGCGTTCTCCAGGTCCTCCTCACTGGCAAACATCTCCAGATGATCCTGCATGTCTGAGGACACAAAAAGGAGGATGAAAGTAGATTTGCCTCAAAACCTTCTAGTTTTCATTTTCAGTCCCTATCCCATTTTAATTCAACAGTTGTCAAGATCATCTTACGCATCTCCTGGGCCACCTCTTCCATGATGTGGTTGGTGATGTTAGTGATTGGTGTGTAGCCCAAGCCCTTGAAGAAGTGGTCTTCGCGCTCCAGGTCCATGGTGCTCATGCCTCCATAATAAACGTGAGGATTCAGGGTGCTGATGAGTATCAGAAGACCCAACAGAAGCAGAGGTAGGATCAGTTCCTGCAGAGAAAGATACATAAAAGGAGCAGCTGATTAGAAAACCTGGAAGTCTGGATTTGGATTTAGTCAATACATAAAGCTTTTGAACATTGGTGACAGTTAGAACATGTATCAACAAGTGAATAGAGCACATTGGCTGAAGAAATACCTCCCATTTCCTCGTGTTGTACTTCTAATATTGCCTGTGTCTAGGAGCTTCAATGGCGATATAAAACTTCTTGATAAATAACAAGAGACATTTTATCTCTTCCAATCCATAAAAACATGCTATAGCTTCACCTTGAGCAACACAGTACATTGAAACAATACATTGAGAGCCACTGGCACGTCAAAAGCTGATTTCATAGCTTGTCAGGCCTTTTCAGAGCTTTACCCAGAGAAATAGTTCAGGGCTTAGTCTTAACACAATTCCCCTATGAAAACATCAATAAGGACATTTGGTTCATATCGGATTTTATGTGTGCATAATAACACTTTTTACACTCAACTGTTCTAGTTTTTTTTTTAAGTAAACAAGCTATATTAATTGCAGTGCAGCTGCAAAAAACTGGACTTTACAAACTGCTGTAAATGAAGCTCCTAGGGGTCCCAGAGTGCTACCTTTCCAAAGAAAATGTGATACACAGACATTAAAAATGCATCAGGGCAATTGAAAAATGCATGCTGTAACAAGCGAGACATTGGAAGGTAAAAGAGGGACAGGTCATCTATTTTATTTGATTTAAATATATACATTGTGTTTAATTTAAGAAGATCTTAACCAAAGGACTTGGTTTGGATGTAGTTTTCTTTTGGTTGTGCTGACTGGAGCAGCCACAAGTGTGACACAATGATCACATTCAAAGGCTTATCAACTGTAACTAAGGGCTCCCTGGAACAACCCCAGAGAGAGATACAGACCTATGGACACTGACAGTGTGCTAGCCATAACACAAAGGTGTGTGGAATGTAAGGTATTGCTACAATATGGGCCTAAACATGTTTTTCTTCCCCACATTACTGTGAGGGGTAAAATAATTATAATTGACGTAACCAAATACTTTGTTCAATTCAAAACCTGGCCATATACAGTACATGTAAGCTATTAACACTAAAGGGGGGTATTGTTATTGTGAATATATTAAACTCTATATGTCACTTCTACATTTCTTCCATTAGGTTTTCCTTGTTATTACAGCACAAGCTGTTCTCCAGACAGAATAAGCTTGGTTTCTTTTGTTCTATTATTTCACACATTATGTTATTGCGCCGTGGCTCAAACTAAATATTAACTTGGCTGCATGACACATTATTGGATATGAAGACAAATGTCAAACACAACAACAACACAGCAGAACTATCTTTCTCCCTGAACAGATTCATATAAAAACTAAGCACCTGGAGACTCTGTTGCTTGGTCCTCCATTTGATGAGCAGATTTTTGTAGAGAAGACTTCTTGTTTGGTGCCAGACTCCAGCATCTCTTCTAGATACGGGCTGCATACTTCCAGCATGCCTCATCTGGATGACGTATGGACGAGAAGTCGTCTCCGTAATGCTAGCCTCAGCTTCAAGTAAAACATTTTTTAAATTCAAAATGATAAAAAAAAACCTTTCTGTCACTTGAGCTGGATTTATAAAACAAGCTTCATTGCTATAACACATAACAATAATGAAAGCAGTAACGCCACTTTGACTTACTTTCAACGCATACTAAGCTTAATTTCTTGCATTATTATTTTAATTCAGATACATTTAAATAGCCTTTATCAATCAATCATCAATGTTATGCGTCACTTGAAATTATATTAAGGAAAATTCCACTGAAATGCATTTAGGGCTCTGAAAAATATATTTTCATGACATTTGATAGACTAAACATTATTTGTTGATGAAAAATATGTATGGTGGCATTTATACATTACACACAATTCATAAATAACTATTATATGATGAGATGCAAGGAAGACACAAAGATAAACACACATTCAATACATCATTTAGAGCACGAATGTGTGCATTATGCCTTTACTTCTGCAAACATTCTTTTGCAAATGAATGTAGGTCCTTCATTTGCATGCATGCAAAACATAGATGATCTGAAAGAATGAGCTTTAAAATGATCAAATCAACTATACTGCTTTTCCTTCATCCCAGTGAGCCATACACAGCTTTATAGCAGCTAACACTGGGGTGACACTGACGGTGACCACTGGCAGGGACCAGGGGTAGACGTGTGGACAATGACAACTGCAACATCACCCTGTAAAGTGGCTTTTTTCTGCAAAGCGTACGGGAGAATGACACCTAGCGTACCTGTCAGATGAGCGTTTGGTTAGCTGACGTTAGCCTCTGAACCAACGCTACCCTGCTGTGTGGTATTTTGGCAAGGCTGAAATGTCAGCATTAGGGGAGCACCGTATTCACCCCTGTGTTCCAATGATGAATGGAAATTAAAAAAGTGTATGCGATTCTGTGAGCAAAATGAACAGCTAGAAATGACACGTTTGTTCTGCATCATCTGAGCTCGCGCTGAATGCGGTGAAGCAAAAATAATCAAGCTAGCAAGCTACAGCAACACAGCCGATAACGAGGACACATATAGAAGCACTGATAAAAAGAAAACATTTCACATACTCACGTATAAAATACATTAAGGCATATCTTTCCTCGACGTGCGGTTTAACGGCCTTACATTACAGATAATGTTTTATGTCAAGAAGACCCCCTGAATGAGCTGTCTTGTTTTTTTACCAAGCTGCTACTACTTCCTACTGTCAAAATACAGAACAGTGACGCTGACCAATCAGATATGTCTAGGTGCTAATGACAAAGGTTTGCGCCAATCAGAATTAAAACAAATGGCTTTTATTTTCATATAAAAAACAGAGCAATAGCAAAAATACTTAATACTTAATATACTTTGTGGTTTTATACCATAAACCACAAATGCTACTGGCCCGCATAAACATATGGAAGCAAATGTATACAAGCATCTTGATATACTGATTTAGAATCTGAATATAATGAGTCAGATTAGTCATTATTTTGAGGCACTCATTCATTATTTTAAAACACTAAGTCATTATCTTTTGATGTACTAGGTCATGGATACCCAATTTGCTCTACCCTTGGGTCACTTGTCCAAAAATAACAACAGGCCAGGGGCCAAAAAAGTACCCTTGAACTTTTAATATAATAAAGAGGCTCACTTAGTCTACTCTGGTGCTTTGTTAATGCAAACCTATTATGTAAATTAAGATTACAAGTATTAATTCCTATTGTGAATAGATTTATTTAATTTGTTCATTTGAAAATGGCCCAAATGTGGTCCGCTGTACTACTGTAAGTCATTCTCAAGAGATAATAAGTAATTATTTTGAGAAAGTGTTTCATTATAATGAACAGAATACATACAGAATATACATTCATGAAATTGGCAGAAACAAGTGCCGGTCTTTTGAAAACTCATTGCCTCACTGTGTAGACAAACATATAAAATCCGCATAACTTCTTTTTTATAGTGTTTGACCTTTAACCTCTCCTAAAATGCATGATGAATTTGTCATGAGATATGTATAAAATTATGCACAATAAGACTGAAATATATAAATTTGATTCAGCCATAAAGCAAAGGTCAGTATATATAATTTGAAATGTTACATTACATCATATGTTTGCCACGATGAGCTTTAACAAGCTTAAATGAAACTGTCAATCGGTATAAAAAAGATGGTTTCAGCAACCTTGAATCATTATAAAGGGGGAGTCAGGATGGGGTTACAGAACATGTCGGTGTTGGTGTGTACTCTCATATTCATGTATGCGTTCTGAAAGTGGAGATGATTGTGGCGAGTGTGTGTAAGGAGGTTCCGAGATGTCTCTGAATTGGAGGAAGCCATTAAGCAGGGAGGGCACAGGGAGCCGCTCCACTACATCCGTTCCCATCAGTGAATCTGACCCCAGCACCACCCTGACCTGCAGCCGACACGTGTGGGAGAGGCAGGGGATGGAGTCTGGAAGGAAGGGAGGAGAAAAGAAAAAAGGGAAATTGTGATAACCTGAAGTTGACTACAGTTTAGTAAAAGCAAATCTGAAGTGTACTTGTTCTACCAAAATGAGGACATGGTTCCCAGGTCTTCTCTGCTCGTCTTCGATCCAGAATATGTTTCAAAGGGGGAGATAGAGTCGACCAGTTCACAAACTCTAGCAGGTAATTCAGCACCTCACTGTCTGCCTGCTCCAACCTAGAAAGCAAAACAAAAGAAATTGATCAACCATCTGATACTTTACTATGGAATGAAAAAGTAGACCTGCACAATTTATGATTCCATTCTTCTACTAAAAAAACAACAAAATGCTTGTTTAATTAATACAATTACAGGACATTATTTCCAAATTATACCCTATTTATTAATTGTGTTAGCTGCAATGTTGCCTTTCATAGTGTTTATTTTTGTTCAGATATTTTTATCCTTCAAAGTCAACTTGAATATATTTGACTTTTTAGTTCCGTTTTTTTTCATTATTTAGATGTTTATATTTGTTTATTTTCAACTCTTTTTATTTTTCAAAAGATGTGAAATGCCTTGTTTGAAAATGTTGCTTTAACGAAAACATCTCCTAGTTTGGGATCAATAAAGTATATCTTATCTTATTTATTTCCAACTGAACACAAAAGGCCCCAAAAATGCAGATTTGTTTTGATACTCCCGTGTAACGGACAAAAAAAAAATCCTTGTGCGGACATTGCAATGACTAGAAAATCATATATTGCAGAGCCCTTGTGAGAGAAGAGTCTTACATGTGGGGCTGAAGCAGCAAGGAAGGTTCCAGTCCTGCCTTTAGTAGCAGCGGAAGCCAGCAGGCGGCAAAGTGTACTTGGTTTAGAGCCACACAGAGCAGGTCCCTCACTTCCGGCAGCTTTAACACAGTTTTCTCAGGATGATGCGGTGCAGAGCACTTCCTGGTCGCAGTATCCTGCCGAGGGATCCATCTGTGCTTCAGTATCAGTTGTAGCAGGTCTGTTTTGTCTGTGGCCAAGGCATAAATCCAGTCCTCCTCACTCCATCTTGCTCCTGCAGCTATCAGCAACCCCACTAATTCACTAAAAGAGATTCTAATCAAAACCAGGTGGGGAGTAACAAAGTACATTTAATCAAGTACTGTACTTAAGTACAATTGAGATACTTATACTTTACTTGAGTATTTCAATTTAATGTGACTTTGTACTTCTACTCCACTACAATTCAGAGGTTAATCGTGTACTTACTACATGTATTTTGTACCTTTAGTTACTTTACAGATTTAGATTTATAATGTGAAATACTGTATAATCAAGTGTTAAATCAGACTTTAGTTCCACCTGGAGTCAATTCACAAGCTACCCTGCAGTATACAAAGTCCTTCAAACTAGATGCACCTTTACCAGCTTTGAGAACACTTTCATGATCAACCATTATAAAACATATCATATATATTATTCTGAAATGGGTATCTGCAGTCATTTTTGGTACTTGAAGTATATTTTTGATTGAATTACTTCTGTACTTTTACTTGAGTGATATTTTGAATGCAGGACTAGTAACAGAGTATTCCTACACTCTGGTACTTCTACTTTTACTCAAGTACAAGATCTGGGTACTTCTCCCACCTCAACAAATGATATATTTTATTTTGTTACCGGAGTGCGTGAGGAAGTCAGATGTGCTTTTTAACAAACCTCTTTGGCTCGTTGGATGTGCGACACAAGGTCATGCAGAGCGGGGAACGGATGTCCAGGAGGTCAGTGCAGTCCTGAGCATCTGGGCTGTAACCTTCCCTCAGGAGCATCTCCACACTGTCGCTCTGATCGTACTGCAGGGCCACATACAGTGGACTCACCATGCCTTCCCCTTGGTCACACACACGATCTGTGGTAGCTATCAGCCTCTTGAGGACACTGGATGGACAACATTGGAGAGGGTTAAGAAAAAACAGTATGGGTACATTTGCATTCAGCAACACGGAAGAAGGGTAAAATGTGTTTTGAATTATAATTAGTGCTGAGAAGTGATTTGTTAAACACTCAATACATTTTATAATAAAAATATATTTTATATATAGGGGTCTTTCCATCAAAAACAATGATCAAAAAACAGAGTATTGGTGGCATTGTAAAATGGTATTGGGTCCTAGGAGTTTCCAGAACACTGAATAAAACAATTTCACGTAAAATATCGGCATCTCAGTGTTAGCTACAGCAAACATTTATTCAGTGTGTTTCTCTGATAACTTTTGATAATTGATTCAACCTCATCCAGAATTATAATCTCCTGACCTGTGACAGCATTGTTTATCATATCGATGATAACTTGGAGTACAAAGTGATCAATAATCTGGCTTCTCAACCATTAAAAAGTCCATATTATAAAGGACCAACAGGGAATTTCTCTCGTAATGCAATGTTTTTTAGCCATCACAACTAGATATAGCTTCTGTATACAAAGTCACACTCTAAGAAGGTAAGGAGCCAATGGCCAACCATATGTCTAGTTAGGCGTCAGTACCCGATGTGTCCAAACTCAACAGCGGCATGAATGGGAAGCTGGGGCCATTCACGACTGCAGGATATGTTGGGATCGGCCCTGTGGTCCAACAGGAGATCCACACACCCCTGGTGGCCCTCCTGAGAGGCGATCAGCAGCGGCGTGGCCAGATCAGCTGCCTGGTTGTTCACATTGGCACCTAAAGTGAGAACCAAATCAAACACAATTGATTATGAATATGACTTACTTACTGGATCTCTGGTGGCAGTGAGTGAAAACAGATGCAGAGAGAGTAGCTGGGACTCCAGAAGAGATCATGTTGGCATGTACAGTATGTTTGGTGTTTTGCTGTTGTACCAAATGTATTGTTGACATGTATTGTTAGAGCCAGTATTTAGTTTTTATAAGAAAGGCCACCTAATTGTGACGTCTGTAGTCAACACACTATAAAAGACTACAATTCCCAGGGTGCTAGAAAGACGCTGTCGCGGAACAGTTTTAACCGTCCAATTACCCTTTAAGTTATTAAGTTATATAATATAATATAATATATAATATAATATTGTGTCCCTGAGACACTTCACCCCAAATTGCTCCTGTGGCGATTGCCCACAGTATTGAGTATGTAAGTCGCTTTGGATAAAAGCGTCTAACAAGTGAGATGTAATGTAATGTAATATAAACCTTATCAAGAAAGAAAGAATACCTAAGTTGTTTGTTATTTTATTTGAGTTGTGCCTATTTGTTTTGAATATTGTAAAGGCCTCTTTTCTTTGTTGCATGTGTACAAGTTTGTTGTTTTATTTTGAGCAACACATCGCATAACATCATCCAAACCATCAGAGGCCAAGCAACTCTTCAACTGTAATATAAAGGAAAGAAAACGAGTGAAACATTTCTGTTTAAGGCGTCTAGTGGCTTGATAGATAAACAAGGAAGGAAGCCACGACATGTATGTTAAGTGTTTTTTATTTACTGTTGTTGTTGTAATGCCTTGTGCGGCATGTTTTGGCAATACTATGTTTAAGATGTGGTCATGCCAATAAAGCACCTGTATTGTAATGTATGTAATGAGGTCGATTGTTGGAATTGATCAGGTCTCTGACAATAGACTATGGGCGGCTGTGGCTCTGGAGGTGGAGTGACGGAGATAGAGATGTCATCCATCAAGTGGAAGGTTACCCGGGCCATGCAGTCAACAAGTCAAAGTGTCCTTGGACAAAATAATGAAACCTTGAATTGCTCGCCATTGCATAGTGCGAGTGTGTGAATGGGTGAAGCTGACTATAAAAGTGCTTCATAAATTCAGTAAATTGACCATTTATTGTATTCTTTTAAAAACAATCATTTGAACTTCTCAAATATCAATATTGGCCTCTGTAACATGACATGTTGAGATGTCGTCTTGGGCTTTGGGCGCCGATAGACATTTTCATCATAATCAAAAGTTTATAGGCCAATCAACGGATAAATACATTTTAAAAAGGCGACCAAATTGGCAAAAAGCAGAAGTTACAGCCCTTTCTCTGACTTAAATTAAATTACAACAACTAAAGGTATACTTGGAGCTATGGAAAAAAAGTACATGCACAAAGACAGAAAACAGCTATTTACCAGCATTTACAAGAATTTCCAGACATTCCTGCTGTCCATACTGTGCCGCCACAAAGAGCGGGGAGATCTTGTGGTCATCTGGTGCCTCCAGGTTGCTCCTATTGGCCAGAACACGCACAATATCACTGTGACCCTTAGGAGAAGAGAAACAAGTTTCTATGAAAGGATTGGCCTCAGAGAGTTCTGTGTGTGTCTGTGACTTACAGTATTACCTTATAAACAGCCTGATGCAGGCAGGTCCAGCAAGACGAGGTGTGTGTTCTGTTGACCTCTGCACCTCTGCTGACCAGCAGCTCTACAACAGCTGTGTGCCCGCCGTCTACAGCTGGTGGAAAACAGATCGTTAAGTTTGCAGACATAATTGATTTATTTGTTTATTCCACACATGGCAGTTCTTTTAAAACAAAACATGTACACTTTAAAAAACATGTACACTTATACTAGTTTTTTTTCTTTCTATAGAGCATGGTGGAAAGGACCAGGGAGAGGAAAATCTATTTTTACCTGCCCTTCTTAAAAAAAAGTAAAATAAAAGCAATATTCTTTCAGTCACAGTTGCTTACAAATACTGAAACATAAAACCAGAACACAATCAAAAGTCAACTTCAAACTGTCTAATTACGTTTTCTTTATACATTTTCTTAAACATACAAAATGTTCTTACAGCCTCATTTCGGTAAAGAATTCCACTTCTTTACGCCAACTACAGAGACACACATCTGCTTTAAAGTAGTACGTAAAAACTGATGCTTAAAATGTAATCTAATCATATCAAATGTAACACGAAAAGGAAATGTATATACGATTCTTGTTGTAGCAGCAACAGAATGATAATGAGAATACAAAATAAAATAAAATAAGAATAAACATGTAGTAATAGTATGAATAGAGAAAAAAAAAATGATTTGATGAGTTCAAATCTGAACAGGTTAATGTACATAAATACAGATATGTATAAAGGTTTAAATGTGCTCAGTGTCCAAGTACCTGCATACAAAGGACAGGAAAGGTTGTTTGTTAGCTGGTTGATGTTGGAGTGTGCCTTCAGGAGGAGTTGGACCGCTGCCAGGTGTCCACGCTGTGCTGCCAGGTAACATGCAGACTCCCCCTCATGGGTCAAAGAGTTCACATAGTCACTGGCACCGCCAGACGAGCCTGCAAATCACAGAGGGAAGGAAAACATTACAATTACATTATGTGTTGCTAAAATTCAAGTTTAGCTATTAAGTTAATTTATTAAAGTTATTGCACTACATTTATATTAATGAACATTTGTTGTGAGTCATTAATCAATTAAAATAAATTCTCTGCTGGTCCCATATGCGTAAACCGCTGCCTAGAAAGCTGGTTCGAATCCAAAGAAGGCCGAACATTCAGGCAATGTCCACCCCTCCGTCTCCCTCATTCAACTCTATGATCTCAAATAAAAGCCCTCCCTGGCCCCAAAAATACTCTCTGCTTCCAGTTCTAAAATGTGATAACTATAACCCTGAATTGAACAATAACCCTTCTTACCGCCCCCAGCAGACAGAATGTCCTGCACACACTCCTTGCTGCCAGCAGCTGCCGCCTCGTGTAGAGCATTCCAGCCACGGTTGTCTCTGCAGTCCACACTGAAACCTCTCTTTATCAGCCTCCTCACCCGCTTCCTACACCCTGAGCGAGCTGCAGCAGCAACTCTGGACACTGTGTCTCCATAACCCTCTGTGAAGTCCATCCCCTGCTTCAAAAAGAGATAGGTCTTTTAATCATGCCATAGTTTGTCTACAATTATTTTTGTTGCAGCATTTATTGGAGAAAAAGAAATTGAATAAGTATGTTTTTAACAGTTGATTATCCTGAACTTTTATTGATAATAGTTGTTTTCATAATCGTTGCAGGCTAAAATCGTAGTTGCGATTAAAATACGATTAATTGAGCAGCCCTAAAGTACACTGGTTAAGTACAAATGTAAGGTACTTGTACTTTACTTCAGTCTTTCCATCTTTTGCAACTCTTTACTTACACTCCACTAGTTCTCAGGGGTAAGATTTGTACTTGTTAATGCATAACATTTGTCTATCATCTTTAGTTAATTTCCTGATACCAGTTATTCTTCCACTTCTATCCAGTGGAAAAAATGCAGCAAGTTGATTTTAAATGTTTGCGATAAAATGAAGCATGACATTTTCTTGCATGTATTGAGAAATTATAATACTTTTAAGCTAAGTAAGCCTTTGGATCAGCTTATAAAACAGATCATCACAAAGCTCAAAGCTGAGGTTTTTCTGAGCTCATTAAAAGTTGACTTTTTATAGATTTGTGGAACAAATATGGTGATCTTATAAAATATGATGCATTGCTGTAGATTCAAAATACACAATAGTATTTAAAGGAGTTAAAATAAGCACAACCCTAAATATCAACAGCAGTAATGTATACAAATACATCATATACAAGTGAAGAACACTGACAGGGAACATGTTACTGCACAATGACTGCTTTAACATTAAGCACTTTAAGTAAATGTTGCTGATAAAACTTACATATTTCTACTTAAATTATGGTATTGCATGGTAACGTTTCTTGTAGTTGGTTAGGATTAGTCTGGTACTTTTTATTCAGTAATCTGAATACTTCTGATACCACAAAATTACATGTTTACCAGTTAGCTTAGGGTTCTATAACCAATAGAGGATACATTATAATGAGCTTTAAAACACCAAAACACAACTTTAGCCTCCAAGCTAACATCGCTGACCATAACAACTGTGTTTAAATTAGCTTAAGCTTGAACACAAAACAATTATAGACTGATAAAAATAAAGCCTGCAGCTCCCCATTCACTGCATGTACATAAAAAACCATAAGCTTAAACACAACACTATATACAATTTTAAAGAACCCACAAACTCATTTGTTGTACTGAAAAAACGTTATTATTTACCAAAATAGTATCCGGGATGCTTGACATCTCACGAGTCGCTGTTTAATGACGTCACGTCAAAACATCCAGTCGCTTTCTGCCTGTAGTTCGATCCATCGATGCCTTGGATTCTGTGATTGCTAGAAATCAGAAATTGGCTGCTTTATCAACACTTTTACCCTACCCACTGCAACCGTAGTTATTTGTAATACTTCTTAAGAAATGTGGAGGCTAGAATTCAGGAAAACAAGCTAAACAACGATTTCAGCTGGATCTTAAAGTCAGCAATAAAGGTAAGGTAGCTTGGTATAGGCAAGCTATACTGTTTATTATCAGTTACTGTGTTGTAGCAAATACTTGATTTACACCTCAATATCATGTATGAATCATAGACTGTATGGTTATTTATTATAAAAAAGATGCTTGTCAGATTATAGATTTATCCTTTACATACATATCAGGGGAGAGCAACATACATAGGAAAACTGTACTTATGATACTGTTATAATATTAGGGATTTAAGGAAAACAAAGATTAAAGCTTTAAAACGAATGCTTTAACATTACTCAATTTAGCTTACTTATTTTTGATACTGTTCTAAAGAAAAATGTGTGTCTTTTATAATATTTGTTTCATATTTGTGATTGCACATGAATAGGGTTTTGTTTCGTTTTTCAGTGTAAGTGGAAAAGTGTGTATCACAATCATGTGCTAAACATGTTATAGTCTAAGAAGAGAGAGCCTGTCCTTCTGATTTTCAGAATCAGTAAGTTCCACAGTTTAGTGGCATACAAAAAAGAAACAATTTCAAGGGTGGCCACTTTTATGGAACATATAAGGAGAATTTAAGAGGACGGACCTCCTAGGACTCCTAACATACTACTTTCCCCCAAAACTTATCCCCTAACCTGTCTCTTAACTTGTTGTTGTTTCCTACTTTGTGTCCCAGCCTATCTCCTAAAAGGTAACAGTCCCTGAGGCCTCGTCACTATCATGGTGGACATTTCTGTGAAGAGCGGAGCTGCCTGGGTCTGTCATGCTCAGGGACATCACTTGGCTGATATCCTGCTTCCTGTTCATCTGAGTAACAACAACGATCATGAAGAGGAGCTCAGCCAGTCAGAGGGTGACAAGACAAACTGGTCAGAAGCTTCTACAGTCTATTAATTTAATTATATGTGGAAATGTGTGTGTAACATGGAAAAACAAATCTCTCTACTGTTTTTTTTTCTGATAAAAGGGGCATAGATGAGTAATAAGTGCATAATTATCAGCACCTCCTATCATGCAAAATGCACTTTTGTATGTCTTTTATACACAAAGGGAACTCACAAAGTGTCAGAAAAAAAAGCCTCTCTCTTCCTCCGTACCCAAATCTCTAAAAACGGGGGAACAACGGAGCTGATCCAGATTTGCTGTCGATATGAAGTAATATCGGAAATGTGGGCTGGCTTTACACCCACGGCCCTATCAGAAACGTTGCTGTCAGAAACAATGCACTTAGAGCTAACATGTACTGGAGAGAGTATGTGTAAAAAAAGCCGGAAATAATAAAAGGAACTCACCTTGTGGTAAACCCGCAAGAGAAAAAGCATTTGAGCTCCATACTGTTTCAGAAATAATCCTTGATGTGGTTTAGAACATGATATGGTGTTTAATCACGGCAGCATTTAGCTGAGTATCTCGGTAAAGCTAAGGACCCAGAATCAGCACTTCTCTAACAGGACTGAAATAGAGGGGTATAAGGCATGGCTAGAATGGGTGATCTGTTTGGTATTTTGAGCAAAACACATCATAGACATGAGACCCACAATGTATGCCTAAAAATAGCATAATTGGAGACTTTTAACAATTATCCTTCTCTCACAGGGGGCCCCCAGTGTTGTTGGAGCAGACAGAGGAAGGGTCTCCTTGTGTCCTGATGCTCAACGTCAACCCCTGCTCCCCCACTGCCATCAGCCGTATACTGGTCATCAGCGAGGCTCGAACCATGGAGGTATACGACCAGACGGGAGAATACTGCGGTACAGTACGCGGGGAGCGGGAGGACAGCATCCAGCCAGACAGGTATACACTGTTATCATCACTTGGGCTGTGGGTTTTAACCTCATACAAAATAATCCATTTCAATCTTCACATGTGACCCCCAGATCCCGGAAGTCCACTGCATTCATTTTTTCTAATTTAGTTGTTTTAGGGATATTTCCATGCTTCAACCTCCACCACATTTGACAGATTGTATGCACTCATCAGAGAGGACGTTCAGAAAATGGCACAGCACAGGAAAAAATGCAAATGTGTCAAGGTGGAGTGCAAAGTAGACTTGTTGAAATAACAAAGGTGAATCTGGGTTTGGCTTTCTCTTGCTGGACAGCAACATAACCCTTGGTTAGCTGGGGAGGAGGGGTAGACTCTGCATGTTGTGTTTACAAACTGCAGCCTACAATCCTACTAAGTGTGCCTTTAAGTTGGAGCTGATCAGACAGCTTTTTGGAAAATACATATTTTTTTAATTACAAAAATGCATATCAAGCCCATACATAACAGCATTTAGATGAATCAAGATACCAGGGATGCTGTCGGGGAAAATCTAAATGTACTTTTAATCAGTGACCTCTATTTTCATATCCTCTCCTCTCTCTATTTTATACTTTCGATGTACTGATTTACGTTTAGGTGCTAATAAAGTTCTGAGTTAAATGAATGTCTGATAGGATGTTAAAGATCTGCTCTGTCTTTTGCCCACAGTTCAGACAGAGGGCCTTTCTGCAAGAAACAGCTGATCCTCGAGCATCCGTCCTCATCCTGTGAAGTGAAGGTGAGCCATGATTTGAGAGACGTTTTATGCCTTTTAGAGACTCTTGCTTAGTAGAAACTGTTAAGACATCTTTAAGGTGCCTCTGGAAACCTTTTTTCATGCACATAGATTTCAATAAATGTAATCATCTGGTTGTGTCCTCCTCTGGTTTGTGTCCCAGCTGCTCTCCCTGGGCGGTAGAAGCAGTGTTCTGGTGTGTCGGGTCATCGTGGCCCTTCAGACCCTGGAGCCCTGCGCGTCCCGGGGCCCCGGCATCGACATGCAGCAGGTGCAGTGTCTGGTGGAGGAGATGGGAACGAGCCTCTCTCCAGGAGCACAGAACCTCATGGAGATGGTGCACTTCCAGCAGAAGGTGAGTGTAAAGGAGCAGTGAGTTACCTAATGCCTCCAACGACCACTTCAGGCAAGGAGGGGGAATTACAACAACACTGAGCTAAAGGCACGAGAGGTTTCTCAATACTCTAATTTCCCCTCCTCGACTGCTATCCTCAACTCCTATCCTCGAGACTTAGTTTCGCCCACAGGAGATGCGAGCGGAGGACTGAGGAGGGGAACTGAGGAGAGAGAAGGGGAAGCAGCAGGCGGTTAGAGAAAGGAGAACTCCTCTCCTCTGAGCGGTCATTTTAAAGAGACGTCCATTAATGATGACAGAAGGCACAGCAGCCCTCTGTCTGATGGACAGATGTGTTCATGACCACTTATATATTTACTTTGAATTCATTCACAGTGCGGTATAATGAGACAATAACAGGCTACAGATGCGCAAATATACACACAAATATATTTATATAAATATATACAATTTCAGAATCAAACAAGTATGAGAGCACTCTCATAATAACGTAACACAATCAGAGACTGGATATATCCCCCCCTCTCTCTGGTCGCTGAAATGGGGAATTGAAATTACGGGCCAAAAGTTTTTTATTTTCAAGTATTAAAAGTAAGCAGAGGACACCAAACCAACTGAGACCCGTCTGTCCGCCGCATCTACGCACTGTACAACNAGAGATCAGTCACGTGTATGGTGTATAATGTCACTCATATTTTCAGGGGGCGGGGTTTGGAGGAAAAGAGGAGAGCGGTGATTCGCGAAGCTTTCCTCCTGCTTCACAAACTTGTTACGCACGTATTTCATACATTCATTACTCTGCACAGTGGGAGGTTCTAACACTGACTCTTTGGACCCCCCTGTGGCCCCCCTGAAAAAAAAAAAAGAAAACAAAAATAAGTTTATGATTAAACGATTTCTTGGCTGACGGAATACGGCCGGCCGCGGGAAGTAACGCGATATTTTCATTGTAGTCAGACCCATTAGAGCAGGGGTCTCCCAACACGTCGAACATGAGCTTCACCGGTATCTTCACAAGCCCTCAATAGCCCCCACTTTACAAATATGTTTTTTTTTTAAACGCAAGCCGTCATTGCACGGAGGAACCACAGCCTCTAGTGAGCGAGCGAGACAGAGAGAGAGAAGAGAGCTAGAAGAAGAGCGACACCTTTAATCTTATTTCATGTGTTTGTATAAAATTAAAGAAATCATTCCAAATGTGTACTATAGGACAGTAAAAAAAAAAAGCAGTTTGAAAGGGGAGTGATTAGTAAAATATGCCATAAATAAAAAGAAAGGAGATACTAACTATAGGGTAACATAAGGATAAAGAATAAACTAGTTTTAACGATTTGCTATTGGTCTGTGATCATGTTCTAAAGATTTTTTTGATTAATTGAAAAGTATACAGCTCTCTTTCATATGAGTGTTGAGATGCTGACTTATCATAAATTCATTTTTGGTGCTCAAAGTGCACCTAGATTGAATGCATTTAACTTCAACTTTTCAAAAGTGGTGGCTGGCATGCCACCGGACCCCCCTGAGGAGAAGGTTACGGTCCCCCCAAATAACAGCAGGGTTCAAAATAATTAAATTTGCATACATTGTTTCTTTTAGTAACACCTGAAAACGCACACAAAATTAAGCATATATTAATGGTTAATCGACAACAAATACCAATATACGGTGTATTGCATTGTTTTCTGTAGGTGTATGCCGCCAAGGCTTTATACTGTCTGGTGGC